GAAGCATTAAGGAAAGTCTCTTCCAACATGGAATAAATTAACTTATTGATTCAAAAGTTCATTGTTTTGTAGGGATTTTTTTAGGTCTTGAAATAATTCCAATAGGTCATTCACCAAATAATCTGAGTAGGCACATTTTGAGTAGTTGGGGAATTTCAGTGAGTGAATAAATTTAAATAAAATTATTGATTAATCCAGCTTCAAAGAAAAGTATTAAGCCACATTAACAAGTTCATTAAAAATTTATTATGACAATAACAATAAATAACATGAATAGGGAAAAGTAGAAACTAACTTCAGGTGAAAAAGTTGCTATTGAAACCAACTTTATCTTACAAAATAGGAGAAAGAGAGTGAACCCAGCTGTTCAGAGGGATGGACCTGGACTGTTTTTCATGGGTTTCTCAAGGGAACAGTAGGAACAAACATACCTTGCTGACATGTTGACCTGTAAAGTGCATGAATAACCCAGATGTGAGGAAACCTGCCCAGGCAACACTGAACAGAAAAAGGTATGGACAAGATAGAACCAGCAGGAGAAGCCGCAGCCTCTGGTCTCCTTGGCATAGTTTCCAGCCCTTATACACAGTTCAAATGGCCAGTAAATCAGACAAGTCTTGCTAAGACTGTAAACTTGAAGATTACAAACTTTTATGAATTAATCACATAGGCCTTGCTGACCAGTCATAAACAGCTTCAGTGGAGAAGCCAGGCGTGCCCCTAGGTCAAGGAGGCATGGTGTCATCATTGCCATATGAGCAAATAAATGATTACATCCAGATTATTTAAGCAAAAACAGAATATGAGGTTAAAAAATGTCATAGTACATTTTAAAATAATGACAAGTTTATATGTGGTAAAAAGCCACTCAGTGCTAACTCTGACTCTTTGGGTACGTTCAGACATTTTCCAAAAGGTGAATGCATCTTAAATCAGTGAAATATAATGCAAGAAAAATTTAGGAAATGATTATGTTATTTCATAATATTTGTCACAGAATATCCCTTTGAAATGCAGAACTTCTTGGCTAGCGCCACGGCTCACTAGGCTAATCCTCCACCTGCAGCGCCGGCACACTGAGTTCTAGTTCCGGTGGGGCGCCGGATTCTGTTCTGGTCGCTCCTCTTCCAGTCCAGCTCTCTGCTGTGGCCCAGGAGTGTAGTGGAGGATGCCCCAAGTGCATGGGCCCTGTACCCGCATGGGAGACCAGGAGAAGCACCTGGCTCGTGGCTTCAGATCCATGCAGCGCACCAGCTGCAACACACCAGCCATAGCGGCCACTTGGAGGGTGAACCAACGGCAAAGGAAGACCTTTCTCTCTGTCTCTCTCTCTCTCTAACTCTGCCTGTCAAAAAAAAAAAAAAAAGAAAGAAAGAAAGAAAGAAAAAGGAAAGAAAAAGAAATACAGAACCTCTCTTCTTTAAATTTGGAACAACAAAATAAATTTCACTTCATAAAGATTTTTTTTGTGTCAGAATAATCACATTCTTATGTTTGGACATATGCATTTTAAGATTCCTACACATTTTTCTATTGTTAATTGCTTTAAAATTTTTCCTCACTGGAAATGTGTGCTATTGTTTTATTTATTATTTGTTAAATATTAGTGTATTAACATCTGACAATTATCAAAGTTGGTGAGTTATTACTAAATAACACATTAGTGTTACTTGCAGTGTACAAAAAAAGGAAAGAAAGAAAAAAAAAGAAACATGATTATGAAAAGCCCCATCATAAGGTAACTAGTTTCAGGGCAAAATGATTTTTCAGAGAGCAGAGATAAAAATATAATTCTTCATTAATCATTTGGATTCCTCTGACCAATGAACACCTCTGATTCAGGATGCTGCCCAATGAAAACAGTTTTTGACTTCCAGTTAATAGTAACAGCATGAGTCCTTCACATGATGCTATTACACACTAACAGACTCATTTCCAAAACCAGAATCCAGCAGTACACAAAGCAATCTTTATTTAAGTGAGTGTATTCTGAAAATGTAACTTTAAAAACGGTTCCACCTGAAATGTAAGTAGAAAAGATGAATTGAATCTCTTCCATAGTACTACTCTGGTAGCATCTAACCCTTTCTTAGCTGCAGAGATGCTCCACTTCAGTTCTTACATAACAAGACAAAACAAACAGAAAACAAGTGCTCACTTTCTCTGTAACTGGCTTTCATCAGCATATTAAGAAGTAGCTCACATTCTGATCATTAAAAATTATAAATGCCTTTACTCTTAAAAATCAGACAAGAAAGAGTTAACACAAACACCTGTAATATAACCATTCCTGGGGCAAGGGGGTTGGGGAGTGAGGGATACTGGGTTTTGAATCTACATCATAAAGATGAAAAGCATGAGGGTACCACAAATCATTAAGTTCAGAGATGAATAAAGCATTATAATATTCTTCATCAGCCCAACAGCATCTCTCTTAAGCTTTGTTCCAAGTATAATAACTTGATATGCTTACTAGGAAAAAAAATATGACCCTATGAGCTTCATGCATGATTGATACCATTACTGCTTATTTTAAGAGTGTCCTTGAGAATCAATCAAATAAAGCATCCCTAGTGTGTATATAGTGCAATCAAGAATGAGGCACAAAATATAAGTAGCTTTCTAGAGAGAAAGTGATAGACTATTCTTCCCATTAGAGTTACCTACTAACAACAAACATCTAATAATACTGATTCAGGCAGAAATTAATGTCAGAAAATACCCTGTCATCCTAGGTTCTTTATAGTATTATGCGTTTACTAGGAGCTCCTCTTATAATTTAAACAAAAAAATAAGGGTTCTCATTAAATATAAAAAGGCTTATAAACCAAATCAAATGCTCAATAGCTTAAAAAAATTACTGGGGAATCATACAAACTAAGAAACCTAATGTACGATAACTCATTAGAAAATTCCCATTTTATCAAGTAAGGTTTCTGAGGACTCAGATGGCCAATGGCTCTCCATCTGTCAGCAGACTTAAATCTTTGCAATAAATATGGATGGAACAATTTACATACTCTAAAAATAGAAAAGTAACTCCTTTTCAATGAAACACTTTTTAGCAAAATCTTAAGGCAGAAAGAAATCACTGAAACCCAAAACTGATCCATTGTTCCTTACAAAAAAATGTAACTTTTTTCTTGCATAGTACTATCTCATTAAATTAAGGGACTGCCCCCAATATAAAATGCAATCTATTTTATGTTTAATCTCAGAGAAGAAACCTAATGATCATCAAAATATTGATGCTAATCCACTCTCAGAAAGCAAATCTGACTTTCCCAAAGCAAACAGCCATCAATCTAGGCTTTCCCTGTCCTCTCATAGTGAACAAGGTAGAACCTGATACTTAACTTTTAACTACCTCGCCCATGCCTCTCCCCCCAGCACCACTCAAGCAATAGGTTCCTCTGCCTGTAACATTATATAAATAACAGCCTACCACTTTCACTCCTACAATCAATGAACTAATGACTTCTTCATTTTAAGTGAAATTATCTCTTGACTTAAATGTTAGGTACAAAAATCCATCTGTGGTATGTAATTTCCAAAGTTTCAAAATTTGCAATCAAGGGAAGTCAGTACATCCCCTTTCCACTTCTCTTTTAATGCAGAAAAAAGCATAGTTGTATCCTTCAAAGGGTTAAATAATTCTGGGTTTCTTATTGGGGTGTGTGTGTGTCATACATTCCTAGTTAACCTTTGTAAACTTCTTTAACTCTTTTGAAAATGGTCCTTCCATTTTTTTGAACCAACCATCATTAATTATGTGGGATCCTGAAAAAAAGGTTTATATAAACAGTTACAGTCAGAATATACCTTCACACCTGGTATTTATTATGCACACTTTGTACATAAGTCAGTTACAAGAAGCATGTTCAAACACCCACCGTGCAACAGGTCCTGCTATTGTATAAATGCACTCTCCCCAAAATGACAGTATCAACAATATAAGGGGAAAAAACCCACATTATTCCTTAGTGACTTAATCACAATTCCTCTGAGCTGTCACAGCATATGACACCTAATCGAAAGGAGTAAATTTCCCCAAGGCTTTCTTACTGCCTTTATAGCCCACCGCCTATGTGACACACTTGTGCTGCAGCTCAGGTGTGGACCCACTTGCACTGATTGATAGCACATGACTGGCTTTGAGTGCTGAGTTGAAGACAGGAGGAGTACTTTGGCAGAGGTCTGACAAGTCCTTATCCTCAAGTTCCCTTTTGCTTTGTGCCGTCTGTTTCCAAAGCTATCAAAGTAAAGCCAATGCCAGTCTAAAATCTCTCCGTCTGGCCCCGAGAGTGTGAAATCAAATTAAAAACACACCTCAGAACTATCACATTGGGCCACGTTTATTCTCAATTGGCGGGGAAGGGGGAGAGAAGACACTTGAAAGAGATGGATTTCAGGTCCTCGGTGTAGCCAGATCTAGTTACAGCCGATTAAGTTATGTCTAAATGAGAAAGAGGCTCCGTCTCCTCAAGTGTTTTATATCAAAGTAATGTTATTAAACATATCAAGTATTCCCACGCTCTCCTCTAGATTCTTTGATTTTAACCTCCTTTGTTAGACACCAACCACCGGCACAAAGATTTCAGGAACAATACCAAGGCAGCACAGGATGCCAAGCAATTAATGCTGTCTCTCCCAATCTGTTTATCCATCATCATAAACTGAGGCTGCCTCTGAAGCCACACGTATGCTGCATGGAGGACTTCGCCTCTCGCCCGCCCGGGAGCGAAGCATGGGTCGGCTACAATTGTGTCTGAGCGCGCAGCACCGTGCTTTGTGCCGCTGGGGATAACGGATCCTCGGTCTCCTGCGCATCCATCACCTAACACACACGGAAACTCAACAAGGGTTTTGGCGGCTAGGAGGCAAACAATGTGCTCAGCCCTCTCCAGGCTGCTTCGAGCCACAAGGATCCGACGAGTGAACGCAAGGTTCCAGGGAGCAGCCCAGGCAGGGGGAGAGGAAGAAAGCCCTTGTACTCTTACCTCCACATTGAAATACTGCTCCGTTCCGCAGACTGTAGCACATAAAATCCAAAGCAAGGTTTGCAAGAAAAACACCCCCGAATGATGCACGAAATCCAACCGTCTTCCAGTGCTGAATGTGAGTAAGATCATAGTGAACTGTGCTTCAATGGATGGACGAGCTCCCCTTCGTTTTCTCCCTCTTTCCCTCTCCCTCCCTCCCTCGTTTCCTTTCAAAAAAAAGTCCTCCGGGTGGGTAAGGAGCCTGCAGGTTCACCCACAGCCGGGCACGGGGAGGCGATGGGGCCCCGTGCTCGGCAGCCCCGGAGAAGCAGCGGCGGAGGCAGGGTCAGCAGCAGCCTGCGTTCACCATCGTCGGGGGTCCGTCACCAGGAACGTGGAGCCCAAGTTCACCGGCGGTTCCGACTCCGAGCGCCGAGTCGCAGCCGCAGCCGCCTCCAACCCGTGCGTCCTCCGCCTCCGCCTCCACCGCCTACTCCCCCTCCACCGCCGCCGCCGCCGCCGCCGCCGCCGCCCCCAGCTTCTGCGGGAAGGGCCTCCGCCGCTCCTCGCTCTGGCTTCTGCTTCTCCTTCCCTCCTCGCCTCGCTCCCCTCCAGAAAGATCATCCGTAATCTACATAACTCCTCCTTCCCGGGGTCTGCCTGGCTCCCGGGGCCCTCGGTGCGCGCGCGCACACGCACACAGAGGCGCGCGCGCGGACACACACACACACACACACACACAACACACGCACGCGCGCTTCTTAAAGGAGACAGCCGGTAAAGGCTTCTCAGCTAATGTATGGCAAACTGGAGGCATGCAGCCCGCGAGAAGGGCCCTGATGTGAGACAAGCTCCTTTAACAGTATCACCCAAGGCAGCACCCGGGAACCTGGGCGGCTCCATCCTTTCGTCTCCCACCACCACCACCCCCAGCACACTCCTAGCTTCTAGAAACCAGCGCGCCCCTCCCCAGCCGGGGACTGGGTGGGGCTCGGGATGTGGACCCTGGTGGGGCCCAGGGATCGGCCCAGGCCTGGTCTTTCAGAACGGAGCAGCTCCGGAGGACTGGGGAGCAAGGAGTCAGAGGAGCGCCCGTCCCCAGGTGCTGCTTGAGGGCCTGGGGTCAGTGGCCAGGGCTGCCCAAGTTGGGGAAGCCAAGAGTCCGAAACTTTGTTGGGGTCCGAGGAGCCTTGAATTCCCTCTACCAGCGCTCCACGCCATCTCCCAAGACCGGGAAGGAGGCTCAGGACTTGGGGGCTGGGGTGGAAGCCAAATCCAAAAACGGGATCCAAAAGCTCACTTTGCAAAGGAACGGTGGCTGCACGTATACAAGGAGCCCGGGAGAGGTGGTCGCGGGTGTTAGCCAAACATCCCTCGGGAGAGGCGGGCGCGGCTGCTGGGAAGAACCCCGCTGCGGGAGCCCCGGCAAGGACTGGGGAAAGGCGAGCACAGCAGCTGGCCAGGGCGGGAGGAAGCGGCTGCGCGCAGACCGAGCGGGGGAGAGGCAGGCGGGAGCCGGGAGAGCTGCGGGGGAGAGGGGGAGGCTGCTGGCACGAGGCACCGGTGAACTCGCGCTGGGGAACTTCGGAAGAGGCTGCCAGCAAGGACTGGAGCTGCAGCAGTGAAAGGCAGTGGACAGGGGAGGCTGCAACCGCCAAGCCCTTGGCAGGTGATGGCTTGGCTGGAAGAGGAAGGGGGGAAGGGAGGGAGGCAGGCATCTGTTTGGGGGCAATGCCAATAAATGTGCTTCTCCTTGGCAGCCAGCAGAGGGGAAAAGAAGCCCACGGGAAAGAAAGGCAGGCGAGGGAAGGAAGGGAGAGTGTTCCAGGTATGACAGCTACCTCACTGAGATGGGAGCTAGATTTGACAAGGCGCATTTCACGGGTGAGTTGGGAAAGCAAAAGTAAGACAACAAGAGGTCACGTTTGGTAAGCAGATGGGAAATGTAGAAAAATAGGTTGCCAGAAATTGTATTGGCCTGTAATAATCTCTATCCTAAAGAGGAAAAAAAAAAAAAAAGCTAAGGAATGGCACTTTGAAGCTATTGCTTTAAAAATAGTAAGAAATACCAAAGTATTTTTAAAATGTTTATGGAATGGAGTTTAAAGATTATTCGGGTGTAAAAATCTTTGAAATCCATTCATAGTTTTTTTTTTTTCATTATTCACATTTTCCACGAATTTTTAAGACGTCACGTGTCCCCGTCCTACCTGACCCCAGATTCTCAGACAGACCCCTGCTTAGCATACAATGTACACAAAAGGATTTTGAAGACATAATAGAAAAGTGATACCTTCGATTGCGGACCATATTAGAATTTACATGAAGGTTCCAGACATAGTATCTTGTTTAATTGACACAACATCCCTGAGAGTTTAGTTTTGGTTTTAGATGGCAGTAACAGATAACTCTTCAGCAAAGCATCCAAATAGCAAACTTTAGACCTTTGTTTCCTGACTCCCAGTTCAGTCTGTCTCCTACTAAGAGTCTTTCTTTTTTTTTTTTTTTTTTGGACAGGCAGAGTGGACAGTGAGAGAGAGAGACAGAGAGAGAGAGAAAGGTCTTCTTTTGCTGTTGGTTCACCCTCCAATGGCTGCTGTGGCTGGCGCGCTGCGGCCGGCGCACCGCGCCGATCCGATGGCAGGAGCCAGGAGCCAGGTGCTTTTCCTGGTCTCCCATGGGGTGCAGGGCCCAAGTTCTTGGGCCATCTTCCACTGCACTCCCTGGCCACAGCAGAGAGCTGGCCTGGAAGAGGGGCAACCGGGACAGAATCAGGCGCCCCGACCTGGACTAGAACCTGGTGTGCTGGCGCCGCTAGGTGGAGGATTAGCCTAGTGAGCCGCAGCGCCAGCCAAGAGTCTTTCCATACAGAAATTCCTTCCTGCTTTTGACCTTTTATAACCCATAGATTGAGATGACTTACATCAAAGAAACACAAGATAACATATACACCAAGGTCATCATGTATAAGTTCTGTGTTGCCAATATAAACCAAAACACATGGTGGTAAGTATTTGTCAATAAGTTAATAAACATTTTTGAGTGCATTATGTCTAGTAAAGTGCAAAATTTAGAAAACAGAGGATACCAAAAAAGTCTAAACTCGGTTTCTTGCCCTTGATATTGAAGAGAAGGAGCTACAAGGAATTTATACAACACATACAAGAGAAAACAGTTCTACATGACAATGCCCTTGCGAAATGAGCAAGCAAGAATCTGAGAAAGGTTTTTTAAGGAAGTTGAATGCAAGTTGAGTGCCATATGGAATCAGCAAGAAGGGATTTCTCATTGTATGTAAGAACCCTGTCCTTTCAAAAAAATAATGAGCTAACAACAGAGGAAGTACTTGAGGAGGACAAGGTGTGGGGAGAGGGTTGCCCTGAAAGACCGAATTAACATTTGACCAAATAAACAAAGAAGGATTGCTTTAGAGAAGATTATCTTCACATTATGCAAAAGATTGGCCAAAAGAAGAAACTGGATACCAAGAGATACCAAATAAAATTTCAGTCCAACTATGAAATGGTCAGGGCTGGACTAGTGGGGTATCCTTGGAAACCTATGCTTTCAGGAAGCAATCCTAAGGGGAAGAACTTCATTGAAAGTAGGGAATCCAAAATTCAAAGGATAATCTCAAACTCAGGATTAAAAAAAACAATAAAAACCACATGATTTAGAAACATTAATCCTATTCATGTGTGGTCATTCACTAATGCACAATGAATGAATAAGTGGATGTTCAATATTCTAGAAATATTAGCAGAAGTAAAATAATGTTTTTCTGTTTTCAGTGATAGAGCTCAGAAGAGTTCATAGTCCAGTTCAGGAGACAGATGCACAGTGCTTTAAGGACTCAGGTAGTTATGTAAGCAAGATGGTATGTTATAAAGGGAAAGAAGTAGTTGATTTGCTCTGAGGATTTTGGAAGAAGCATCACAAAATAATTGACCCTCGAGTTGAATCTGGAGAAATAAGTAGAGATTTACCATGCAGATGAGAAAAGACAGAACGCTTCAGACCTGTGTGCAATGGAGGAATAAATACACCAGGATACATGTGTGCAACTGTAAATTGTTTGTCAGGGCTAGGGGCTAGGCTGCATGTAAAATAAAGTTAAGATCAGGGTTTGCATGGATGAATATGCAGGGATCAGATTAGGAAAGGTTCTGTGGGCCATATTTTGGGCTTTAGACTTTATCCTGAAGAAATTAAGAAGAAATAGTTGAATTTTTATTAAATTTGCTGTTTGATTACTAGCTCCAGAAATAGTTACTTTCTAGAAGTTTTTATATGCATGTTTTTTAACCTGATTTAATATCTGTTATCTTTATGGACTCATGGACTCAAACCTGTGCTCATCTAATAAGCCTAATGCAACAGTTTCACATATGGACTCAGCTGGGTAGATGCAGAAATGTTGTCACTTTCTTTGTCAAGTAAGTTTGTCATTCCATCTTTTATCTGTTATGTAGACTGATGTTTTTAAAGGCTCAGAATTATGAAGAAGTTCCTCTTCTCAGGTCTTTGTAGTGTGAACTTCTCAGGCCCCTTAGAGAAGTAGATATTTTCCTTTCTGCAGTGAATTAAAAGATAGAATATCCTATTTCCCTCAGGGTGTTAATGATACCTTTTCTCCCAACTCTTAGCCCTTGGGGCACTTTTTTTAATTTTATTTTTTTTTTCATTTTTTGACAGGCAGAGTTAGTGAGAGAGAGAGAGAGAGAGAGAGAGAGAGCGAGAGACAGAGAGAAAGGTCTTCCTTCCGTTGGTTCACCCCCCCAAATGGCCGCCATGGCCAACGCGCTATGCCGATCTGAAGCCAGGAGCCAGGTGCTTATCCTGGTCTTCCATGGGGTGCAGGGCCCAAGCACCTGGGCCATCCTCCACTGCACTCCCTGGTCACAGCAGAGAGCTGGCCTGGAAGAGGGGCAACCGGGACAGAATCCAGCGCCCCGACCGGGACTAGAACCTGGTGTGCCGGCGCTGCAGGCGGAGGATTAGCCTAGTGAGCCGCAGCGCTGGCCAGGGGCATGTGCTTTCTTTCAGATACTTTATTTTTCTCACAATTTCACAAAAGTAACCGTCTCAGAATCACATGTGACTGAAGAAAATAAAACTCAAAAGAGATTCATTAAAAATGAATGAATGAGAAAACCAAAG